ATTATTACACAAAAGCTTAATGTTATGAGCCAATTTTTTCGTTGCTTGGACGAAAAGTAAACAATCATCAGCAAAATAGAGATTAGACATTTTTATTCCATAATTCAAAGAGAGCAAGCTAATATGTGAAGAATTGGAAAGGGCCAAATTCACTCGTATATTCCTACATGCAATTCGCCTATAGTATTTAGGTCAAATGTGAACACATAGAAACTCATTAAGATCAGTGAAAACCTCCAACAAGCATGTAAACCCTAGGATTATGGTATTTACCCTAGACGAATTACAAATTCTAATCACAAGAAGCAAGCCTCAAATTAAGTAAGGTATTTACTCTAATTTGCATCCGATTAACTCAATTAAAAGTTTAGATGGTGATCAAACATCAAGATAATCAACCAATTTTTTAAGCAAAATAATTAAGAATCCAACATCAAACGGCAATCAACAGATAGGTAAAATAAGAAAAATTAGATTATCATACTATGGCCACATCATGCCCTAGCAACAGAAAATTACTTACACATAATCATAGAATTCGGCACAAGCAAAAACATAAGAAAGAAACAATAAAACTTAGCCAATTGGGGTACTCTTCTGGCGTCTCCAATCTCTCCAAGTCTTTGCATCACTCCCCAAGGAGTTGTTTCTCATGCTTAAATAAAACTTCACACGTCTATAACTACCCTAGCTGGGCTTTTACAGCGGCCCAAAATAAAGAAAAATATAATTAAAACATAAATCCAAAATGGGTAAGTAATTGACTCATCTTCCTACTTTGACTAGGATAAAACGTCAGTTACTTTGCACGCACGTTTAGGGTTGTTCTTCTGCCAAGAAAATTCAGAAAAAATATGTAAATTGTAAGTCTTTGTCTTATCTTTCCAGCCATATATCGCACCTCTTGAGGAAAAATGAAGAAAGTCTTCAAATAATCATTCTTCCACAGCAACACAGTTTTGACGGGATTGCACCTTATGCTTACTTGACTTCAAAGACTGCTCTCATTGGCTGCTCCAAAAAAATTAGACACATTCCACAATCATCTTCAAGATCTTAGCTTTCATCTTCAACTAGTCTTGTACAAAAATTCCACCAAAAAGTCAAAAACCAATTACTTGCTCCGGAAAGTTGAAAATTGTAATATTCCATGGAAAGAAAAGCATTAAATAGAATAACTGTAGTTCAGATCTAGAAATCATCTAGAAAAATCTGATCTAAAAAGTTGAAATTTTGATGAATATATTAAGAATATTACATTACAATAAAAAAAAAAAAAAAAAAAAAAAAAGAAAATAAATCTGCAGAATTTCATTGCAAGAAGTTTTGCAACCTTATATAGTCCAGATTGGCAACGAGCATCTCCAGGCCTAAAGCATTTTTCAAAACCTCCAATGGAAGTTCTCAAATTTCTCCTTATTTTGCTGTTTGCAGCAACAGTTGATTGGAGTGAAGCAGGGTTGCCCAGCTTAAAGCAGGGGAGCTCTTTGAAAGTTGAGGAAGAGATTGACTTGGTTTCACCAAATAGAACTTTCTCCAGTGGATTTTACAAGGTTGGCACCAATGCCTCTTGTTATTCAATATGGTTCACCAATTCTGTCAATAAAACAGTTGTCTGGATGGCTAACAGAGATAAGCCTGTTAGTGGAAGAGGGTCCAAGCTAACTCTCCACAGAAATGGCAACTTGGTTTTGACTGATGGGGTTGGATCAATTGTATGGTCAACCAACACTTTCTCTAATGCAGGTGTGGAGGCTCGGCTTCATGAGACCGGAAACTTGGTGTTGATCAACCAAGCAAAGGAGGTCCTCTGGCAGAGTTTTGATTCTCCTACAGATACTCTTCTACCATCACAGAAACTTGTCAGGAACACAACCTTGGTGTCCATGAAAAGTCAAGGTACATACTTATCTGGATTCTATAACTTCAAATTCGGTGATAGTAATGTCTTATATCTCGTTTACAATGGCCCTCAATTTTCGAGTGCTTATTGGCCAATGCCAGGCGTAAATGTTTTTGACTTTGGTAGAAAACCTTACAATAGCTCTAGAGTAGCAATTTTGGATGGGGTTGGGGAATTTATATCAAGTGACGGTTTGATGTTTAATGCATCTGATTATGGGTTTGGTCCAAAGCGTCGTTTAACACTGGATTATGACGGCATGTTAAGATTGTACAGTCTAGATGAATCAACGGGGCTTTGGGAAGTCTCATGGTTGCCTGATGCTGTTGTTGTTTGCCTGGTTCATGGCTTGTGTGGTGAATACAGTTTGTGCACTTACAAACCACAACCTACTTGTACTTGCCCTTATGGTTTCTCCCTAAACGATCCTTCAGATAAGTCAAAAGGCTGCTCACCTTTGTTCAATTTGATTCATGATGCAAACAAGTTGGACTTTATGGAGCTTCCTAACTCAGATTACTATGGATTTGACTTGGATACCTATGCTCTTGGAGTTTCTTTTGAAGCATGCAGGAATGCGTGCCTATATGATTCAAGATGCAAAGGATTTGGATATGCTTTGGATGGAAGAGGACAATGTTTCCCCAAAAGTTTTCTCCGTAATGGATTTCATATTCCTAGTACTTTCATCAGCATATATATTAAGATTCCAAAAATTTTAATGAGCACAGATGAAGTCCTAAGGAAGCTAAAACCATATGAACTGAACTGTTCTGCAGCACAAGTTGCTCTCCAACATAGTGAGCCTGAAGTGGAAAAGAGCAATAAAACTCGGTTCATGGAATACCTGATTGGCTTCTTAAGTTCATTTGCAATCATTGAAGCAATCTGCATTGGTTTGACATGGTGGTGCGTCTTCCGAAAGCATGCTCATGAGGAATTCTTGAATATGGGTTACATCGTATTATCCATGGTATTCAAACGTTTCACTTACGAAGAACTTAAAAAAGCAACCAATGGCTTCAAACATGAGGTAGGAAAAGGGGGATTTGGAGCTGTGTATAAAGGGGTTCTAGATGATGAAAGAGTTGTAGCTGTGAAGAGACTAGATGGCATCTTGCAAGGAGATGCAGAATTTTGGGCAGAGGTGAGTGTGATAGGGAATATCAATCACAGGAACTTGGTTAAACTATGGGGTTTCTGTGCTGACAATGAGCATAAGCTGCTCGTCTACGAGTACCTGGAGAATGGATCACTGGACAGACTCTTGTTCAGTTCAGATGGGGAACTAGGATTGGAGCAGAGATACAACATTGCTCTTGGCACAGCAAAGGGTTTGTCATATTTACATGAGGAATGCCTAGAATGGGTGCTCCATTGTGATGTAAAGCCTCAAAACATTCTGTTAGATGACCACCTTGAACCTAAAGTAGCAGACTTTGGCATGTCAAAGCTATTCAAAGACATCCATGGCATGAAAGACATCCAAGGGATTGGCTTTTCAAAAGCGCGGGGCACCAGAGGTTATATGGCTCCAGAGTGGATGATGAACCTGACAATTAATGCAAAGGCAGATGTCTACAGCTATGGGATTGTGTTGTTGGAACTACTGAGTGGAAAGAGTGCTTCTATTATAGTTTCGGCTCTTGCCAAAGAGTACAATGAATGCAACCAGTTGGCACAATGTGTGACTGAAAAGATCAGAGAAGAAGGGCTTGATGAAGTACTTGATCCTAGACTACTTGGTGAACTCGATAAGAAGAAGCTCGAAAGATTGATGGAAGTTGCTCTACTGTGTGTTCAAGATGATCGCAGTGCAAGGCCAGCCATGAGTAAGGTTGTGGAGCTTCTACTTGAAAATGACGAGTAAGGGCCAGATGAAGAAGATCAGAGAGAGAGAGAGAGCAAATAATAGAAGCTAAATGTACAGTAAATAATATGTTATTCTTACATTTGTTTAGCTTCCCATTAAATGTAATGATAGGTTACTAGGATTGGAGCATTCCAGCTGAATAAAAACTGTGATTCCAACAATTGTTTCAAGTTTCTGTATGATATATGATTCAATTTTTCATTCTTCGAAATTGATTAATCAACAATCGTTTATAGAAAATCGAAAAAATTAAAACCATGAACAGAAGTATGAATAAATGGTTCTACAGCCAAACAAATTAATACCATGAACAGAAGTATAAAAACTATTAGAGCTATTGTTGCTCGAGTAAAAGTTTACTTCAACTGCATCTTTTGTAATATTTGCAATGGACTAGATATATAAGCCTATAACATCCTTTCTCTTTTGTGAAAGAATCAATTACATGTGGGATTTGTGCATGTTTTTTAATTTGATACTGTGGAATCAAAGTTGCAAACATCATTTTCCAAAGTTGTCAATTTGCAGTTCACTAGATGATTAAATAGGGGTAAAAATAGACTGCCGCCTGATTAAAAAAGAAATTGGCTTGACAATGACAACCTGTCGACATGATAAGAAAAATAAAATGGTAAACTTATGAATCGAACTATGATACAACGCGAAGTGCCCCAGCCGCCACCAGAAGAAAACTGAAAAGCCCGAAAAAGGCAAAGAAAAAAAATAAAAAATAAAAAGCAAAAATCTCAACGTCTCTTTTTCGCGTCTCCGCTTCCCTCACTCACTCACTCACTCAACCAAACGTCCCAGCTTGCAGAACCGAATACCAAAAGCCTCAACTTTCTCTCCAACCAAACAAGCCACCTTCCTCTTACTTTCCCTCATTTTCCCTCTCACTTTCCTCCGTTTTCCCGCACAATTATCTCTCGCCGTAAAGTTCGGACTGCAACCAAAAATTGTTGTGCAAGGTATGAACTTCACAAGAGTTGTACTTTCATTCTTTACTTTAGTAGTTATGGCTGATTGGTGCTTCATTTTCTGTAGATTTTTGGTTTTAATCAGCTGTGATTATGTGAATATATATGTATATAAGTCTATTTTGTGTGATTTGATTGCATTAGCTTGCTAAGGGCTTTGTGTTGGTGGCGATTGCCTACTAATTCGTCGACTTCTCTGAGTTTGTATTATCGAGTGAGAAATTTTCGATTTTCTTGAAAGGCACATATGGCGGGTTGTTCTTCGAGCTTTGGAATATCGAATGTTGTAACCCTGCGGAACGAGGTCGTTTTGAGGAAGATTTGGAGCCAGAATTTGATTTTTGATGGCGTAAGGTTTAGGAATGATGCAAAGGAGGTAGCTTTGCCAGTGTTCTGTAGGAACAATCGCTTTAGACATGGGGTCAATTCCTTTTCGGTGAAGAAAGACCGGAATTTTATGGTCATGAGTATGTCTCAGCCTCAGGCTGAATCACACTCTGAGTTGGGAGCAGTAACGGTTTCAAATGAGGGAGCTGATGTTATTTTAGGAAAGGAAACGAGGATTTTGGAGAATGAGCATAGATCAAAAACCGAGAATGGTGTGCTTGATGGTAGTGGTGGTGATGGGAAATACACGAATGGTAGAGGAGGAGGGGGTGGTGGTGGTGGCGATGATGATGGGGATGATAAAGAAGAAGAAGAGTTTGGGCCACTTATGAAATTTGAAGAGGTTATGAAAGAGACAGAGGCTCGAGGGGCTAGTCTTCCCTCGGATATGATAGAGGCTGCCAAGAGTGTGGGAATTAGAAAAGTGCTTCTCCTTAGATATCTGGATTTGCAGGTACAGCTGTACTAAGTTTCTATTCAGTAATTATGTATCAATGTGTTCAGCATCAGTGATTCTTTCTCCTAATATGGTGTGACATTTAAATTGTAGGGGTCAGCCTGGCCTCTAGGCTTTCTAATGAAGTCATGCTCTATGCTTCGTGATCGAATGCTAGCCGATCCGTCATTTCTCTTCAAAATTGGAACAGAGGTTTGTGCTTGTCTTGATGTAACTTTACACAAATTATTCATCTGGTTACATGATAGATGTAAGATGGTGAGGACAGGGAATAGTATCAACTCTAATATGTGATTACTCCCATCTTGGCTCCCCATGAATATAATTTGTCTCCTGTACAAACCAGGTTCACTTTCTGTGATAAGATATCCCGTAAAGGGGCACATGCATAGTAAATTCCTATGCATCAAAGTTGTGGCTAAATTTTTGTCGATCATAGATTCTTTTCCCAGTGCCCCATTTTATTATATATAATGATATTGACCAGTAGAATGCAGATAGTCATTGATTCTTGTTGTGCTACATTTGCGGAAGTTCAAAAGAGGGGCAAAGATTTCTGGGCAGAATTTGAGCTGTATGTTGCAGATCTTTTGGTTGGGGTGGTGGTTAATGTTGCTTTGGTTGGGATGTTGGCACCCTATGCTCGTATTGGGCAACCATCATTATCCAAAGGGTTCCTTGGGCGCTTGCAGCATTCTTATGGAGCTCTCCCTAGCAGGTCAATAGCTCATGCCAAAAACAATACTCGAACCTAAATATCAATTCACGTCTAATAGTATTTGATACTCATACTTGTCACATCTACTTGCAGCTTTAGAAAATAATGGGTATTTATTAAGTTTCTTAAGCGATCATCTTATGCAGTGTATTTGAAGCTGAAAGGCCTGGGTGTAGGTATTCAGTAAATCAGAGAATTGCAACTTACTTTTTTAAGGTAAGATTTACACATATCTTTAACCAAATGATATTTTTATGTCTTGGTTCATTATATTTGTTGATTCAACCTTTCTGTTTTCAGGGCATCTTGTATGGCTCAGTAGGCTTTGGATGTGGTATCATTGGACAAGGAATTGCAAACTTAATCATGACTGCCAAGCGGTACACTTCTATCTAGACAGACTCTCTTTGTGTGCACACATGCTTGCTTGCGCAACTCCATCAGCTTTCTTGATTTGCATCATTGCTTACCAAATTATTTTCTAAATGTCAGGAGCGTAAAGAAATCAGAAGAGGACATACCCGTGCCACCTCTAATTAAGAGTGCAGTTCTTTGGGGTATGCATTTCTTCATCATTTACGGTTGTTATAAGTTGTCAGCTTTATTACCTTGTTATGATATTGGGATGAATTTTACTTCCATGAGTGTATCTGCATTTTTGGTTCCCTTATGTTTTAGTTTCATATGGTTCTGGTTGACATTTGCTGGCACTTGTGTAGTCTATTTCAATAACTCGGTTTTCTTTTTGTCCCCCAAACTACCAGGTGTTTTCCTTGCTGTCTCTTCCAACACCCGCTATCAGATCATCAACGGACTGGAACGCTTGGTAGAGTCATCGCCTATGGCAAAGCAGATCCCGCCCGTCGCATTGGCTTTCACGGTTGGTGTACGGTTTGCCAACAACATCTATGGTGGAATGCAGTTCGTGGACTGGGCTAGATGGAGTGGGGTTCAATAACTTCATGAGCTTCAGAAGGAGAGGTTCTCAAATGCACAAGAAGCACAAAATCGCCAACAAAATTTGGTCCCTCAAAAACTTTCCGATCCCCTTAGGATTAGTTTCATCCTCAATGCTTTTATGTGTAATATGAAAAATGCTGAGCAGAAAGTCTTGTACTTTTTCCTATTGACAATCATGATGGCTGCATTTATAGATTATGCGGATAATAAAACCTTAGTTTCATGCATTTTTTGCCTGTGCAGATGTGAACAGTCCAAATTGGCACCGTTCTTGAAGTTATTGTATCTGCATTGCAAGTGATGTGTTCGTATTTTCATTTAAGCCGCTTAGAAAAGAAAAGGTTCACTTCAACAAAATGCAGCTCTGTCCTCATTGATGCTCCATAACCGGTATTTAAATAAAAAAAAACGAAATAAAAAAGGGGATCTATTTTTTGAAGGGAGGTGAGAAAAGCAGACAACCAATGTAGTTGGGAAACAGCCTTCAGTTGAGAATTAAGAGGACAAAAAGAAAAAAACTGAAAAGGTTTAATACGTTGTGTGTGAACTTTCCAGGTGTCCCTATTTTGTGATGAGAAATTTGTTAAGACGAGTCACCAGTTTACAAAGTATTTTGCACTTCCCTTGATTTTATGAGCAATCAGGTAAAAATAGGATAACTTTTACCCGCAGCATTCGCATGGAGCAAATATAAGTGTTAATGTGAGTTGTCACTCAAACAAACCATAACTTACAGAGATCACATATATGCAAGAAAGATTCTTATAGAGAGAACAAAGAGGGAAGAAAGTAGGAGGGGGGACTGAGAACGATGGAGCATGCGACGCATTCTTCATCAGGAGGAGGGCTTGAGAGTCAATCCCCTCCTCCCAAAACACCAGTTGGAGGATGGAGAGCCGTCAGATTCATCCTTGGTAAATTCTTTTTCATGGCAAGCTTTTCATTTTATGTTGATCTTTTCTTATCATTTCTATAATGATTTTATATGGGGGGATTGGACCCCCCGCGTTTTCTTAATGAAGACATAGTTGGATCAGTTCTGACTGTTACGATTTGTGTTTTTGAAGGGAATGAGACGTTTGAGAAGATGGCTTCCATGAGCTTGGTTGCAAATTTGGTGATGTATCTGCATACAAAGTACAACTTGGATAATGTGGTTTCGGCTAATGTGTTCAACATCTGGTCTGGTTCGTGCAACATTGCACCGTTGTTTGGTGCTTTCGTTGCTGACACTTACATTGGAAAGTTCTATACTCTTCTCTTTAGCTCAGTAGCATCCCTCCTGGTAAGAATCTATAAATAGAATATGATATTCATTGAATGAATTTTTTAAGGATCTACGAACACTTGTGATTTCAATCTGGCAGGGAATGGCGACCCTGACCTTAACTGCAGGTTTACACGAATTAACTCCCTCTGCCTGCAAAGGACAAACCGAATGCCCGCAACCTAATGCTTGGCAGCTAGCCGTCCTCTATTCGGGTCTCGGGTTGCTAGTTGTTGGATCTGGAGGCCTTAGACCATGCAACATTGCCTTTGGAGCTGATCAGTTTGACACCAAAACAGAGAAAGGAAGGGCACAGCTAGACAGCTTTTGCAATTGGTGGTACCTCCTGTTCACCGTAGCCCTCCTCATAGCTCTCACCGGAGTCGTCTATATTCAGACCAGTGTCAGCTGGATTTTGGGTTTTTCCATACCAACTGCCTGCTTTGGTCTCTCCATAATAATTTTCTTGCTTGGAACCAAGTTGTACATACGCATAAAGCCCCAAGGAAGCGTCTTCACCGACATTATCAAGGTTGTAGTAGCTACCTGCAGAAAATATGGTTCTAATGCAGGACAAACTTCAGGGAAGTTATTTTATGATCCTCCTCCAATTGGATCAGAGTCTCAGACGGCAGCTCGCACGGACAGACTACTGTTCATTGATAAGGCTGCTATGATTATGGACCCTAGTGAATTGGACAGCCAAGGCAAGCCTACAAATGGTTGGAGATTATGCAGTGTGCAGCAAGTTGAGCAACTAAAATCTGTGGTGTGGATATTGCCTGTTTGGATAACTGGAATTTTTTGTTTCATAGGCATGAACCAAATGAATTCTTTTGGGATCTTTCAAGCAATTCAGATGAACAAAGCAATTGGACCCAAATTCCAAATTCCACCAGCCTGGATGGGGCTAGCACCAATGATTGCACTTTCAATATGGATCATCATATACGAGAGCCTCTACATTCCTCAAATGCAGAAAAGGAACAAGAACGAAAGTGGAAGGTTGACAATGGAGCAGAGGTTTAAGATTGGCATTGTGATGTCAGTTCTGTGCATGGTGGTGGCCGGACTTACTGAGATGAAGCGCCGGAACTCAGCTCTGAAGCACGGGACTTTCGAGTCACCTATAACGGTTGCATTGCTCGTGCCACAATTTGCATTATCTGGTCTGATTGAAGCTTTTGCTGCAATTGCCTTGATGGAACTACTTACCGTGCAGTGGCCACAGAGCATGAGGACTTTTGCTGGGGCAGTCTTCTTTCTCAGCTTGTCCATGGCAAGCTACCTAACCTCCCTTCTCATCACAATCGTCAAAAAAGTGAGTGGCTTGAATGGCAATTCATCATGGTTGGGTGGGAATGATCTTAACAAGAACAGGCTTGATTACTACTATTACACCATAGCCGGCCTCGGGGTCGTAAATTTCGTGTATTTCCATTTCTATGCCCGCCATTATCTATCCGATGCAGCAGCTGTTGAAAATTCCGAAAACCAAGTTAACTCTGACACTGAAAGGGGTTGTAGGTCCAGAGACACTGAAAAGGGGTTGTAGGTCTTGTAGATTACAGATATTGCCTAGTGTTCTTATAGTCTTGCTTGTTTTTTCATGTAATGTTATTGATTTGATTCTCCTAGTACCAAGAACGTTTGAAAACCTCAAAGCATGTGTTTTAGAAGTAAATATCTTTACATTTTATTTGTGAGCATTCATTCTATCTTGCATGGCACCACCAGCAGCGCAATAGAATCTTGGTAAACAATATTTTACACGTGGCCGAAGCTAGGATATACCACGTGTCATATTTTGTAAGGCTTCCTTGCTAGAAGAAGGAAAATTGTAACGGCTATATTGACTTTGATACTTTCCCGCGCAGCCTCTCTCTATATATATATTTCTCTCTGCACACACCGTACAACACCAGAGTTCCCAACCTCTCAGAGATTCCAAGACTCAACCTTTCGACATTGAAAGTTGGAAATCTAAACCCAAATCCCAAGAAACCAACCCCAAATCAACCAAAACCATGACCAAGATCGACGCCCTCCGTCGATTTATCATCCCCTGCTTCTCCCCCACCAAGAAAAGAACCCACTCCGCCGGCACCAAGAAACGCCTGAGCACTTCCCTGCGCGACGACCTCGACGACATTGACGCCGCCGCCTCCAAAACCCACGACCCACGAGACCAAGATTCGCAATCTTCCTCACCCACAACCGACAATGACGCCGTCTCGACAATCGTGCCCCAGCAGCCTCGTCCCTCGAAATCCATGGTCATCGGCACCATCTTCGGCCACCGCCTCGGCCACGTGTGGTTCTGCATCCAGCACGACCGCCTCTCCACCAAACCCACCCTCCTCCTCGAGCTCTCCATCAAGACCCACCAGCTCGTCAACGAGATGCGATTCGGCCTCGTCCGCGTAACCCTCGAGTGCGACGAGTCGAGCCGGTCCCAGCTCGCCACGTGTCCGCTCCATTCCGTCCCGCTCTGGACCGTCCACTGCAACGGCCGCCAACTCGGGTTCGCGGGGACGAGGAGAGCGAGCGATAAGGTGAAATTGATGCTGAAGACGATGCAGTCGACGACGGTCGGCGCCGGGGTTATGCCGACCGGGTACGGGTTGGAGTCGGAGTCGGGTCAGGAGGTGATGTATATGAGGGCTAACTATGAGCACGTGGTGGGAAGCGCTGACTCGGAGTCGTTTCATCTGATTAACCCGGATCAGTACCCGGGTCAAGAACTCAGTGTCTTCTTGCTTAGGTCCAAGCACTCATGAGACTTCTGCTCAAGGTTCAAGGTCACATTTTTATTTTAATTATTATGGGTCTCTCCGCTTATTTCTTCTTTTCCTTTTCTGGGAACTGTTGAAATGGAAAGTGAAAACTAGGTGTTTTCTGTAGCTACGGATTTTTTGGAAAATCCTTGTTGGGAATTTGGGGTTTTTGTAATTTTCTTGGAAGAGAAATTCTTTTTTTTTCTTTAGAGGGTTGGATAGAGATAGCAGAGGTTGGCAATTATCTCTCTCTAGATGGATTAGTTTTTGAGGGCGCTAGCTAATTCCAGCAATATCAACTGTACATTGTATATCATTTCATCTCAGAAGTGATCAGCAGAATTCAAAATTTCAATGAAATTTCAGATCATTTCTTACTTTTGCACCTTCATTCCCTATGTTCATGGCACTAAACACAATGATCAACTTAAGTGAGTAAAGATTTTATTTTGCATCTATCTCAGCCGTCCATATATTATCCAAATATTAAAAACAGAGTGCAGATTGATATAGTGTGATTGATGTGGGTTCATAAACATTGCAGTCCACTGATGTTAAGGTTTTTTTAATGTTCCTAGCCTTGTGTTTTCAGAATTTCAGGGGTTTTGATTCTTTGAAAAATTTGCCCATGTCTGTACAAGAATACAACTATGGACCACTTTGAAGTTTCAAACTAAGCTACAAAGAATGAACCAAATAACAAAGGCACCTGTCACTTGTGTTTGTAACTCTTCTGCAAGTTCTACTGTTACCAACTTAGATATTTTATGTACAACTGTTCTGATTTTAACACTTTCATCTAAAAGACAAACCATGGGATTTTTGAGGCTCAAAATTAATGCCATAATACAACATTAAACCTCCACCACCTAATTATATCATTATTTCTGCGTAATTTCTTTATAATCTGTATACATATATTTGTGCTAATTAGAAGCTTCTGCAGCACATCAATCTCTGTAAGAATTCATCTTGCTTCCCATTTCTCACTAGATAATATGCTGGAAGGAAAAGCTGTGGTGCGAGAAACAGATATGCCACATGCCATGCAAAGCCATGCCATGGAGTTGGCTTACAAGGCTCTTGATCTCCATGAAGTTTCTGACTGTAGATCCATTGCTCACCATATCAAACAGGTTTCAATTATTTTCACCCTCAAGATTAAATATTCTTCACTTCGTTTTTTATATATATGGATGCTCCTATGAAACAGTAGAAAAAGAAGGATTAGAAAAGTGATCTGAGATTGTCATCATATCTTTTGTCTGCTCATTTTTAAAATGCCAAAAACGACAAAGCTAATTATGTGATCAAAAGGGTTCGATGTGTGGAGCAAGGAAAGATTAGAAAAAGTGGTTTCTTTTCAAAAGCAATGCAGGGTAGAAAGGATCCAAACGCACTTTGCAGCAAGGCATAGTGGCAGTGATTCCCAGAGGAGCTAAAACAACCAATTTAATATGACATATTTGGATAACATTACCGATACCACTTTAGGCTCCAAATAGCATGTTTAAAGCTGTATAACTTCCTTTATGTCTGGAAAAAATCTTAACTTTTGGTTCAAGTAGCAGCCTAATTAAACTAAATAAGTAGGTTTGGTGTGCTATTTTTTTAATGTTTGTTCCTGGTCTGTATGGGGGAGGTTAGATTGTGCTTTAGATTGAATCTCACTTACGGCTAAAGCATATATTCCTCCTCCTACTTTCTGTCTGGAAAATACACTTTCCCAAATGTGCAGTTAGGATGTATCCCGGTTGATTTGGGATTTGTGGGATTGGCTAACACGAATTTAGCTGCAAGGTGTCATTTACTGTAGTAACTTTCACTTTTCATGTATTATCAGTGATTCAAGCAACCAGTCATGGGACACTACAGTAAAAAACCCTTTTAAGTTTTAACACCCTTGATGTAACATACTTTATGGTATTGGATAAAAGTAGTTTTTTATGCCAAGGGAACTGACTTCTTATCTTATCTGCTACATTGTTTGTGAATTCTTCCACTGCTTTCCTTAAGCTTTTGTTCTCCTAAACAGAAGTTTGATGAAGCTTATGGCTCTGCCTGGCACTGTGTGGTTGGCAAAAACTTTGGATCTTGCATCACACATTTGTGTGGGACTTTCATTTTCTTCCATGTGGAGATGATGGAGTTTCTCATATTCAAGGATGGCAAAGACTCTACTGAAAGCAGGGAAGAAGCTATTGGTGCGCTGCAGATGGAAAGCCAAGACGGTGATGATGCATAAGACAATTTATTGAATATTTGCCAGCAAGAGAAGTTGGAACATGGCAAATGCTAGGGGTGTTCAATCTTAGAAGGAAAGTAAATTTTATTAAATTAGGGTGACATAAGTCCAAATCAACAAAGGGTCAATTGCATGCCTCAACTAGTAGTCTTCAGCTACAGCCGGCATAGATCATGCCTTGCCTTTTTTGTCTTTTTCAATTTATGGACCAGAAATTGTATATAACAAGAAAACAATACAGAATGACACCAAAAAAAAAACTGCAACAAGACACTGGAACAGACAGAACATCCAGCTAAGTTGAAATAAAGTCCAAAATAAAATACAAAAGATAGTACAACATGTGTGAGTATTGCCTCTTAAGAGAAGAATCAGGAATATTACCCCATTCTGCTAGTACCTTGGGTTGAACATAGACTATCTTTTCCTTAACAGAAATCCAATTTGAAAGATTTTTCTTCTTTGGACTGTAAATCCTTTTCATCTCGATACAGTAGATATGACCGTCGTCTGATATCATAAATGTCAAGTGTGCCCTTGAACTGAGAGATTCTGTTTATGTTTGAATCACAAACTTCTTGATACCATTCCAAGCAGCTTCACCTTGCCAATCGAAGTATTAGGTTCTTCCCGTAACTATATACCGAAACAGGTGTTCCCGTAACTAATGTATCTGCAATGGAAAAACAGGTGTTCCCGTAATTATATACTGAAACAACATCAATAAAAGAGAGGCTATTAGGTTCTTCCCCATTCCTGAAAAAGAGCATATATTGAATCTGCCATCCAAGAGCAACCAAGAGAAAAATCCATGGTTTTGGATGGCTTTGGAAAACCAGATGAATTTATGGTAGTCCAACACAACAGGCTTGCCTAAAAGCTCTTGATACAATAATCGAAAGCTGCCTCCAACATAATTTACAACCAAAATTTCGTGTACTGTGAATCTGTCTTCAAGGGTGCTGCATCACTTGAAAAGGGTATATTATAAATTTAAGTGGCCATCAACTTAATTTCAAGATCTAAAAATTTGCTGATAATTTTGCAGATAGATATAAAAAGTTTCATCTAATGAGTAATTCTCTAATAAGCATAAGAGAAAGTGCACATTCTTATGCTTATTAGATTAACTACTGTTGATCTAATTACCAGGGTCAACAAAAATCTCACTAGTTGATACGTACCACAAACAGAAAAGTTGATCAGTGCACAGCAATCTGACCTCTGCAGTAAGCCAGCACCTCACCTGGGCAATGACATCGATTTTTTTGAAGCTCATGTTCAATCCTGATTGCAGAGAACATAAGGGATCACCTGAGCAATGTAAGGGATGTGACCTGAAAATGCAGAAACAAACAAAGAACATAAAAGAACCAAGACGTGCATCAGGTGCTTTAGCTTCATGAGATTAACAAGTCTTGCATTGGCGGTGAGGACGAGGTAATCCGCATCCCAAGGACCAGCTACAACAAGTATATGTGCTGATCTAAACCTCAGGATGCAGATTACCCGATCCTAACCCAAAATCCTTGTATCAACTCTATGAAGAAATGATTAATGAAGAATAGATGATAGAGAAGAAACAAAATATAGTTCAATAGGAGGTGGTTTGGTAGCAAGGAGGTGTGAGGACAATCTGCATGATGGCATTCTGTATTTATAGTGGTGACGGTATATTCTGCAAGTATATGTTAAAATAACGAGGGTGTATAAATAAAGCAAATGATAAGGTAAAGGAAGACACAGGAACTTTCAAAAAAACAATGATGTCTCTTCCTTGACTGCTTTTTGAGGAGAATTTAGAGATCTCCTCTGGCTATTATAAAATATTCTCAACAATTTTTTTTGTAAGATTGTTATCAATACTTGGCTTGAAACAGCCCAAGAATAGTAAGTATTGTTCAGTATTCTTCAAGAATAGCTAAGCTCTCTCTTTCAAAGCTGATGAACTGAAAAGGAAAGCGGTACCACATTTACATGTTGCAGCAGATTTCATGGTCTCAATCAGCTTTTAGCAGCAGCATAATTTATTCCCTCAGCTACTGAAATGAAAGGTGCCTCCCCCAACTCAGAGCTTTCGGTGGCAGGAGCTTGAGATAGATAGCTACAGATAATTTTCTTTTTAAACTTGGCTAACAGATTGCTAAATTATCATAAAGTCTAGCCAATATAAGCCTTCAGTGTCCATTTTCGGTTTTAAAAAAAATATCACTGGTTATTTCTACTCTAAAGCATGCAAAAAGAAGGAAGTAGAAGTTCAACCCCAAAACCAATTGATAATGGGATATAAACCCAAGTTAAGTCCCTTAATTTTTCAATGTGGGACAAACACTCTCAACACGCCCCCCGTACATATGGAGAACTTTCAAGCCTAACACGTGGACAACACATATTGGGTGACGTGGGCCCAACAAGTGAAATCTTGCTCTAATACCGTGATTTTGGAGTGGAAACTCAACTTCCTTCACAGAAAGCATGTTTCTGCATAAACACATTAAGATGAAACTGCTGGTCTTGTCACAGCATGCAATATCAATGATTAGCACAACAAAAATTAATTAGTGTGTTCTGGCTCAGCTGCATGCAAATTGCTCGAGTGGCATGGAAAATGGCTGGACCATGCATTATTTAGGCCAAAACAATGGCAAGGATTGTTTTTTTTTTTTTTTTTTTTTGGTTTCTGGAAGATGTACGGCTAAAATGTGAGCCAGTCATGGTCCCTCCTGATCATTTTTTGATTGCCTAAATCTGCAACACTCTCTCTCTTCCGACATGAGAATAGATGCCAAATTGGGTTACTTTTTCCACAAGTATAAAACTTATGATAGGAGCTTCCCTGAAACTCTTGCTGATATTTATGGAGTCTTATATTGCATATATGCAATAATAATATTGTGCTGTGATGCCAACTTCCAGACAATACACATATTCCCACCATGGCCCTAACTCTAGGACCATGAAAATGATATCCAACACTTCTAATTTCACTCAAATGAAATTAGATTATATTCCAAGTTATTTTGCAGATCCATATATCTGTCCAAAAAAAGAAAATGGTGAGAATCCTTTTGAGTGATAGAGTTGCATAAGCATGATGAGCAATGCCAGCAAGGACCAATCAAACACCCTCCTCCATGTGTTCTTTACACTTGGTATTCAATGTGGGGCCAGTTTTGTATTGTTTATAGGTTCACGCAAAGCAGAGGAGAATTGAATCAAACCTTAAAGCTCCTTTGCCAATGGCATCTCTCTGTGATCTGATACTCTCAGCTCTTGGGTTACCAATTATGAACTTTTTATTCAATTATTTTTTTGCTTAATAGTATTTCCAACAATACTAAATTAATAAAATGTCCACCACCGTTGGTATCTGATTAAAAGTTAAGTACCATCATCGACAGTAAGAACCACGCTATGATCCTAGATTAACTATTTAGTCTAATTGAAAATATTTGGTTGATTTGGAGAGAGATTGCACATCCTTAATTATATAGTTTTTTAGTCCATCATCTTTTATGCTAAACGACAAAAAAGATGCAACAATCCGATGAGTATATTAAAGAAAATTAGAGAATATATCCCCAAAATCAAGTGTAAAAGTGTAAACCTTTGTTCTTAGAATTTCTGCAAGTTTTTCCCCTCTCTGTGTGTCATTTACAAAGTTCGATTTGAGATGTATGTGGCATTAATGACCATCTCTTATCGTTCATTTTGCTTGGTTTACTTAGAAATCTGAAGAATGTGATGAGCACGACCAAACTTTTCATCAAAATCCCTGAAACCCTTGAGAGTAGCAGTTTAAAAGAAAAGTTAACAAGTTTCCCTGAAACTCTTTTGTTTGTTATCGATTCTTTTTATAGTGTTTGTTTTCCAATTTAACTGTTTGGGAATTCACCTAACGTTTATCAAAATTAGGAGGGGGGAGGGGGATTTTCTCACACATTACCAACGTGTCATAGAGGTTCAAATTTGAGACCACTAGTTTGCAATACACATTTACTGTATTTGCTTAAATAACTTTTATGTGGCTCACCTGGAAAACAAAAAATTAAACAGAGCTGTGTAACTTGGAAGTTAACAATTCGATTAACGATGCATGCATGTTTAAACTTCTCACGAGATGCAAACGGTTAAAGAGAAGAAAACAAATTATGATATTGGAGATCCAAGATGGTTGGGGACGATAAACACAAAAAGTGCAAACTACTTTTAGGCTTATGCTTCTTACAACATATGATGTTTCTTACCATTAAAAGCAAAACCAACCAAGCATTCACGATGATTGGCCACAATATGTAAAACGAAGAAATTGCCGGCAATTCCAGTCAGCTCTCGAGTCTTCAGGTATAATAAATATATAAAATTCCCCCTTCTACATAAATTTCCAAAAATAGTATCATCTTGATACTCAGCAACAGTTCATAACAGCTTTAACATGTCATTTGACTGTAGACTTCAATAAATGAAATAAAATGGAACATAACAAAGGAGCTGGAACAACAAAATTGTTACGATGGTAATCATCAATGAATACTTAGGTTGCTACCTAATGATATCAAAATGGGAGCATGTTGTGACTCATGCAGCTAACTAAACTTCCTATACAGAAATAAATATGGTCCCATGGCAGCAACAGCAAAATTTACCACCAAATATTTCTCAACTACCACAACTATTCTTCTACCTATGTTGTGTGTTTAACCAACTTTATCCTCTTCCCTACCTTCATATGTTGGAAACCCCGGTGAGTTCGCGAATTCCATGGCATGACCAATGGTGGAAAACGGGAAATTTAGAGGCAACTAGTCACTTGTTTGGATGCGCGACAAAAGCATTTTCAGTGTCTCGTAAGTCATGAAGACAATGCCTACACTGGGGACAACCTTGTAATATTCTGGCAGAATCCCTCTATACAAGCCCCGTAGGCCTTCAGTCCGGATTATGTGCTTAAAAGTCCCAACTAAGCCGGTATTATAGATGCGAGCTCGACCACCAGCCCCCTCCAACTGCATCCTTCGCCTCACAAGATCCAGAGGGAATGTTGCTGAAATAACAAATAGACCAAAAGATAATCACACAGAAGAACAATAAATCTGAAATTCATATTGCTAGATCCTAAACAAATCAATTGGAAGTCCTAACATACTTTGCCATCTATCTGTATCTGAAAACTATACGAGATTTAAAGGCATCATACAAGGAGTATTGTTCATAAACTACATCAGTATATAAGTTTTTGTTAATTTGTAAAGTATTTGTCCTTGTGGAAATAAATCCTCCACTGTGCATCATGTCACAATTTTCTATTATAGTGATCCATCTTTTGATGGTCCAAACTAGCACTAAATGTCACAGATCACTTACCTGTTGATGAGGCAATGCCTGAAAGACTGCCGCAGGCAAGACTGACCATGACAGTCGAATCATTGGGCCTGATGTCAGAAGAATTGAAAACTACAATATTACAACTCAAACGAATAGGGGGACAATAAACATCACTCAAAAAACTTCAGCCCCAAATCAACCAATTATGCAGTATTCACCTTTCAGACTGCCAAAATGACCTCAAAGCCTCATAAACTGAGAAGCTTATTGCTATACTGGGCCCAACACCCTGTGCCACAAGAATAAACCAAATGGAAATTAGTGTTAACAAAATAAAGCAACGAAGAATGTGCAGGTTCATAATAAAGCATACCAACAGTGTCGCTCCAAGTCCTTTATACAATCCCAAAAAACCTTCTTCTCTGCAAATTGTATGAAATGCATGCCCAATACCTCTGTAGTATAGTGCATTTCTCTACAAAATTCGAATACACTGATAAAAATCAAACTGAAAAAATACAAGGATGGACAGCTATAAATCATACCTAAGACCAAACTTAATGAACAAGACCTGCAATATCTGAGCAGTACCTGAGCTGCAAGACGTGTCCTCACAAGATCCAGTGGATATGTGGCTGAGGCAGCGGTTAATCCTGCCATCCCACCACCAAGAAAGTGCACACACATGTCCGTGCTTGCATTGCCCCTAAGATTTTCGCCAAGAAGTGAATGCAGCAACTGCAATATAAGAACAGGTCAGATGAAATAAAAGCAAGCTGCAAGGCTAAAACATCAGTCAATTCAACAAGCTTAGAATTCAGCCGAGGCATGTATTCACTGACTTGTTTGTAGCGTTCATAAGCATAGAAGCTGACGGAAGAATATGGAAGGCGATGAGCAATAGTAACCAGATTGCCTCTCCAAAATGCTCTAAACCCTTCTTCATTTACAATACGTGAAGCCTCATGCCATATACTGGCCTTACTCAATGCTGTAACATCAGAGTGCATTCCTTGCACCTAATAGAAGTAAATGACGGAACAGTCAACTAAACCACCTTCAAAAACAAACGTTGGTAACCAATCAAAGGAAAAGTGCATGAAACCCTATACTAACACACAATGATGTGGAGCTGTCCACCCTTTGGGTAATTAATTGCAAAATAAGGACGATAGCCAACTTTAAGTATAGAGCAAAATAAACAGGTTGAACACATATAGGAATAGAATGAGCTTCCCACCATGAACATTCTTGAACTAACATCAATCCAAACAAAAGCAATTAAGCTTCAGCACAACATGTCCTGCATTTTCTTTTGCCAAATTCTCAACCCTCGACCAAGAAACTAAAATTTAAAATTCAAAAAAGAAAACCCTTTACTTTATATCCCAAATCAGAAAACAGAGCCCCAACTTGAACACTCTTTCAGCAAACCCCAACCTATGACAAAAAATCCCACTCCTCAAATATCAATAATGCTCGAAAACACAAACCCACCAAAACCCATATCACAAAACAATACCAGCTAAATTAGCGCCAAAAAAAAAAATGCAAAAGGAATAAGAGAAAACCTGAAAGAGGATGGTGAGGCGAGCAAGAGGTGCAGTACAGGTTTTGCTAAAAGCCCCAGCAATACCACCAGCTAAGAGCTGGTTCACCGTGCCTACCTGAGCCGATTGATTCATAGACTGCTTTGCTTGGCTCTGTTGCTGTAAAAATTTCCTGGCACCTCCATCCACCACGCTTCCCTGAGCTGAATTTAAAGCTCTCTGCTTTCCTTCCACTACCACCCCAACTCGAGCTTCCATATTCACAAACCCTCTATCTCTATCTTATTTCTACGCAAGTTTCAATCTTTCCCCGTCTGTAAAATTGGGTTGAGCCGAGCTTGGCTGATCTCGCATGGGTTTGGGCGGTATTGGAAGAGTCTTATAGAATCTGAAATTGGGTGAAACTGTGTGGTCACGGAGTTGGAAAAATCTTACGACGAAGAAGAAGACAGAGTCCAGAGAGACCCTCTTGAGAGAAGAGAAGCGAAAACCCTAACAGGAGGAGAGGGTTAACTTACCTTGTCGTTTAGACTGGTTTTCCTAATAAGTGTGGACGCGCTTCACATGTGGAACATTTTTCTGCGTGCTACGGACGATGAGACTACTAACTTTCCAAATGCTCTTCTCGCTTTTCTTTCCCTTTGTTTACTCAACTTTAGAATTTGGGGGTTTATGAAATAATTCTATCTATTTATAAACTTTAGGTTTAATTTTAATTCTAATGTACCTCATTTTTTAATTAGTTTCTTGAATTTTTAGACAATTCTAAGAGACAAGAAAGACATGTAAAATTACATTAGAAATTTTGAAGACGACAAAAAAGACATAAAATTTGACTCTAATTACCGCCACTATCTAAGAGGCCGTCTTGAATAACATGCGGGGCACTTCAAAACGACCTGTACTCATTGGAAATTTCAAAATAACGTGTTGGACAAAAAATTTGTTACATTACCAAGCTATAAAATATTTCAATTGTCCCTCCTAAGTCTTCTGAAGTGTCATTTCCCCACAATTTGCACCAACCCTTCCATACTGCCTTGACTATGACACGTTATTTATGTTAGGTTCCGTACAAGTGCGTTGTAAATACTTGTCACATTTCCTTGTCCTCGTGCAACTCATTACAAACGAGGAAAATTCCCAACCACGCCAAAGTGTTTTGGACGAATCTTACACGTTTGTCATGTTTCATTGACTTTCCTTCTGCTCACCTATCATCCTTATTTAAATTGGGTTTTTTATGAACTAAAACAAGTTGAAGATTGCATAGCAACGAATTCCAATGTCGGATTTGGGTTCGGGTGACCATTGTCTTGCCTAAGTTTCCCCGGCCAAAAAGAAAGTACATAAGAATCCTTTTTTTTTCTTTTTTTTTGTGGTCAAAATCAAGTTTAATGAAATATAGGTTCAAAGTCAGTTACACCAAAATGAACTCAAAAAATCGAGTTTACACCAAATGCAACACAAAAAGGTATAGAGCTCATTACAGTTATAAAATTTACAAAATGCATGAAGCTTTGCATACATAGAAGCATAAAACCAATATAAAAGCAAAAATCCCACAAACAGCAAAAGCCCATAAAAGACAATGGCCCACAAAACACATTAGGAAACCTAACACAAATAATAAATGCCACATAATCCAACAGGCACAAATTGCTCCATCAAGGCAAGTCGACAACCGTCAAAGAGAAACTGGTAACCAACAGAAGAAGCCCAAACGTTCTGTGACCCAAGACATTAAAGTTTTCCCAGCTGAAAATAAACTATATAAGAGTATCTCTAATGGGGTTTGTATAATGAGGTGTATGTTAAATATACACCCTTTATGATCGGAATCACTTCCAATGAGGAGATGTAAACGAGTGTAAATTTGCATCATCACTATGAGATGTAAATTTTGATGCACATGTATATCTTTTTTTACATCCCTTAGAGTATCCACAGTGGGAGGGTGTAGTTTTGGGAGTTTAAAGCCACTTTTACATCTCCTTTACACTTACGGGGGTTGTAAATGTGATTTTTGCTCAAGTGGGGAATATGTAAATCTAAAAATGTATAATTGATTTCTTTCACCTTTTCTGATGTAGGTCCCACTTTTGTTCATTTTTTCTCATCTTTTTTCATGTAAGTCCCACTTGCAAGAGATGTAAAAAAAGATGTATATGTGCATCTAAATTTGCATCTCATGGTGGTGATGCAAATTTACACTCGTTTACACCTCTGCATTGCCGTTGATTCCGATCACAATTTGTGTATATTTAACATACACCTCATTATACATAATCCCACTGTGGATGCTCTTACTACATGAAAAAATATGAGAAAAAATAGACAAAACTGAGCAAAAAATTTATTGAATGAAACCCACTTGCCCAAGATGCGCGGCTAGAGTAGTTGTTGGACCAAAACTTCATATGTGGGCCCATGCCTATAGGATGTCATCTCCCCAACGACTGCATTGCAAAATTAAATGATGCAATTCTTTTTTTTTTTTAAAAAAAAAAAAAAAAAAAAAAAAAAAAAAACCAAACATCCAACATCTTTAGGTCTATTTAAATATTTTTGAATGAAATCATATCTTCTTCGAATTTAAATATTTTAAAGTCTATTTGTTTGAAAAAATAAAATGAACCTAACACACACAAAATTAATTTTATAAAGTTAACACAAAAATGAATTAAGACAAAAAAATCAATTATACATCTTTAAATTTACATCTTTCTCATTTGAGCAAAAACCGTATTTACAACCTCGGAGAAACCATTTTACAACCCCTGAAGGTGTAAAAGTGGCTTTACACCCCCGAAAATACACCCTCCCACTGTGGATGCTCTAAGAATCCTAATTTTTAGTTGTAGTAAATTTTAAAGTTTTTCCAAAATAAATAAAAAGGAAGAATAACAGATAGCTTCAAACCCGATTAGGAAATGAGAGTAATGGGTCACAGTAAATTTGGGCTTCTTCTATATAGGCCTTGAATCAGGCCCTAGTTTTTCCTAGGTTAAGACCCAAGTCTCACTATTAGTCTTTAGGGAAGGCATATACCATATATGTAACCTAGAACAAAAGGCATATCTTCCCATATAATCTAATAATGCCATGATCTCAAGAAAGTATCGATCCATTTCACTTGGGTAAGTGCGTACACAAAATGCCCAATGTGAACAATCATGGAGCAATGAGCTTCTTGTAGCTGAACGGGTTCACCTTACTTGAGATTTAGTGTTCGATTTCCACGTCCCTAATATCGCTCGTGTTGAAAAAAACAGTATTCACTGAAATAAGTACGATTGTCCATTTTATGTTTTGATGTTCACAGTTCACCTAGAGTTCTAGAAATGATACAAACAGAAATAAATGGCAGAGTCCTCTTCTCTCCAGCTGTGCACTTTGCCCTTTCGCTGTAGCCTGGAATTTGTACATCGTATACTTCCATACATTTTAATAGCAGCTGCATGGCTGCAATTACCAAGCAAGTACGTAAAAAATTCCAGCAGATGGCCCATCGTCAACTCAGGAACAAGTCGGTTTTCAATTTCTGTACTAAAAACCTATTTACTATTTATTAGTTGGCAGTTGCCAGAGTTGGCAAAACAGGAAAAAGGCAAAGTCATATGCTCACGAGATTGACTGCAACTATGGCAAAACAAAACTTGAGTGTCGAGTATCCCAAACTTGGTTTCAATTTCGACATGACCATTCACTCACACGAATATTCATACCCAGTCATGACGTGCCTCATGGCAAAATTAGGGCAATCATTTTACACTAGCTGAAGCACATTTTTCTTGTCATATATAATTAAATAAAAATTTACATATGAATTTAACACCAAACATTTGCATTGCCGGAGTATTTTCAAGAGAAAAATATACAGTGGGATGTGACAAAATGAACATACCTCTAGCTAACACCACAATAATAGGGTAAACCAACCATTCAAACCACTCTTGTAATTTCAACTTGGATTCTGGCTTGATAAATGAACATCTAACTGCAATTTTGTTAGTATATAATCTCCAATTCAATGATGTCCGGATATGCCTTACATGTTCATCCCACAAAATCGTGCAAAAGTTGCCCTCCCATGACATCCCTTCCAAAATGTCGATTTTGAGATTCAAAACCACCCATTGCGTAGCCGTCATTGCTGCCATCGAGGCCAATGCCAAAACGTTGAGCTGCATTAATAGGAAAGGGTTCTGACAAACCAATACCATTATTTTGGTGAAGTCCCAGTGTTAGAGAAACACCACTACTACTTCCCCCAGCCATGTTCATACCAACATGACCCACATGCATATGGCTTGGCAAGTTATTGCATGATAAGTTCAATTGATCAGTACTACTCCCCATAGTGATGTGATCAGGAAGTTCATTTCTTGTGCGTTTCGACAAGCTGTCTTGAACCCGGTGGGTGGTTGTGGATGGATTCTCAGATGCAAGTGAGTTTGGTGAAGGTAAATGATCATCAATTGACCTGTTCGCACTTTGATCTCCCCTCTGTGAAGTTTTTTGCGCTTGCCGTGTTTCGAGCGTGTGTATTTCTTCCACCATCGGTTTCCAGAGCCTTACTCTTGCATTAATAAACCAATTTGAAACCTGATTCACAACATCAAACTTGATTGAACATGTGTTTCAAAAACTATAATATGGTGATATGATTATAGAGGATTGATGTCACACACCTGGCTCCGTGATAGACCAGTTTGTTTAGCCAACATTAGTTTATCCGAATCAGTAGGGTAACTGCAACATAAAAGCAGTGAAGAGAAACACCAATATATCAGACAATAAACACATGAGGATTTAGGGTATCAAGCTTCTTATTAGTCCATTGAAGAAGAGTATAACAAGCTGACCAGGCACTAATTAATTACTTACGGATGCAGGAAGTGTTCAAATAACCAGGCCCTAAGAACAGTAACCGCGCGTTCAGGAAGACCCCGTTGAGGTCTCCAAACAGGTTGGTGCTCGACAAAGTCGGAGTTGTGAATGGATCTTTGATTATAGAATCCTCTAGTGTTACGAAGCATTTGACTTTCATCTTTTCCATGGCTTAACTGAGTAGCATCCCTATTTCTGAACTGAAGTTGGTCAGTGATGGCATTCTTCAAACACTTGAAGTGTCTAGTCATGGCCTTTATTGCTAAGTTTGCATAGGGAGCTGCATTTCCAAGCCCAGCAACATACTCAAATGATGTTACCACTGCCTGCATCTGTTGATAGTATTGCTTGTACCTTCTGTAAACCTAATGGACAACAAAAAACAATTAATTAACTAGTACTCTTAAATAACCTTTTGTAAATAATATAGATTTACCAAGAAGAAACAACATAAATGCATGGAGATTGCTAAACTTGGAAGTCAAAGTTTACACTTTCATCTACTTAACATATCTTTGGGATGTCAGAAATAAGTAGAATTATATAACAACAAATTCAATCAAATCCATGCTGTGATCAATGTATAACAAGTCCATCTTGAAGTACAAACCCAGCCAGAAATTTAAAAACACCTCAAGTGTACTGCAAACCCCACCCCAATATAGTGAAAAATGAGCTTTTAGCATCCGTGTGGCGTGTGTGGGTTTAGCATATTATCGCACTTATGAATAGGAAAGGTCCTAAAAAACATAAAGTATTCTAGATGTAGAAAATAAGAATATAATGACAGTTTAGGTAAAGCTAATTTAACATATCTCTTGTTGACTTTTCCATGTTTTATCGCAACTTATATATTAAAGTAAACATTTTGATAGGGGTGAGATCTTCTTCCATTAATTTGTCTAATTCCTCCACACATCTTTGACAAATTGGGTTTAAAATATTTGTATCAACAGTGAAGCTGGTAACTTTAGTTAGACTTATTCAAAAATGTATCTCACTAATCACTCGATTACAAATCACATTCATCTGCTCATCTAGCCTTCCCCACAAGTTAATCGATCAAGCACCGAACAAGAGTATTTGTCCCATAATTTTCCTAGGTTTAAAGCATGAATTTGATTACCTCTCGCATATCAAAATGTATAGCATCTCCCAAAATAGAGCACCTCATCTAGATTCTAGGCATGCCAAAAACCTTCAACCATGCACCATATCATGTGTTTGTGAGCTTAAACCTTTCAACACTAATTCTAGGATCGATATCCAATCAGTGAGATATTAATTTGCATTGAATACATGTAGAGCATTCAAAAACATAGCATGAGAGTCACTGGTTCTTTCTTTATCATGGCCAACCACACCCAGTAAATGCAAACAAGTTGAGTTCTGAGTGAGAGATATCATGATGAAAAAGAAAGCTACATGCACCAAATATGAAACATGCACATGGAGGAATTATATCCCATTTCCATTCATTCATATTCGAGAATTTGGTGCCTGAGTTTATATCTTTAATTTTTCAAAAAACAATTATGCTTTCCATATAATCTATTTTCAAACTGATTCGCTCCACTGCTTTCGGGCCAAAACTAGAGAGACTTTGTCACGTATTAGGAACTCATTCCATGGCTGTCAGATGCTTTATAAGCAAAAATCTCAGCGCATATATTCCCTCCTCTAATCAACTTTTCCAAAAAGCCGATTTTTGAAAATCACCAACGCCATCTAACATCCTTCCTCCTAACTTCCTTTAATGCAAGAATCTATTATTAAGTTAAGTATGGTCAATAATAATCAAAATAATATAAACTAATTCAAGTTTACACAAGTTAATAAGTACCGCGCGCATGTCTGTACTTTGACCAGTAACCAATGAACAATCAAATCATACATGAATAAATCCAAAAGACACATCTCCAACGAAGATCTAGACTACATCAAAAACAACTATTGGGGAAACAAACAAACAAACCAAAGCAAGAAATTAAATTAAAATGCAAATGGGAATGGGAGAATTAATTGCGTACCTCGTCGAGCATGGAAATTAGCCTGGATTTTTTTCTCCTGCTCTCACCTCCGTCCCCTCCGACACTGAGCGGGTCGTCGTCGTCGTCGACGACATGAGTTGGGCTGAAGCTCTCGATACTAGGAGGGTCGAAAAACGACGACGAATCAGCAAGTACTTTGGCAGTGTAAATTTCTCGGTTGCCCACATCGCAGAACTCTTCTAGCAACTGCTGCGCGGGCTTCAAGAATCTAGATCCCTTCAGAATCGAAGCGTAGCCCGTGAAGGGTCCGAGAGGAACCGAGCTTCTGGACCCAATGTTCTCGTTAGAGGCCGAAGCAACATTGACGCCTGAATTGAGTGAACTGTAGTTAACAGCAGAAGCCCCATATCTCTGGAGATTGTTGTTGTTGTTGTTGTTGTTGTTTTGGTGGGTGTGGTGGTGGGGGGGTTGAGAAGAAGAGAGGGATAGAGATAAGGGTTCTGGCTTGAACACCACGACTTGATCATGGCCATAGTCGGCTTGGTGGTCGAAATCTCTGAGGGTTTGGAGGTTTTGCGGTGGGTAGAGAAAAGGGTTGGCGTTGATGTCGTGAATGGAGGTGGGATTTATGGGGAAATTAATGGAGGAGGGCTGTGGATCCAAGTAATTGAGATGGTTGCGGAAGGTGGAGGTTGAGGAAGAGGAAGAGGAATTGGAAACAAAACCCATCAAGGGATGATGATGATGATGATGATGCACTTGACCTTCTGGCTTCACGGGGGAAGCTGGGGCGGGTTCGCACGTGAGCAAATCTGAGGAGGAGATGAAGGAGGAGGAAGGATCGTAGGGGAGAGGAAGGAAACCAGAAGCAGCACAATTACCCGGGTGGAGATGGTGATGAGGCGGAGGAGGTGAGTCGGGTTGAAGACAACCCGGGTGGGCTTGGCCTGCGAGGACCCGGAGCTTTTCTCTTCTGCTTTGTTGAGGAACATGGTAGGGCTCAAAACCCTCAGCCATAGTAAGCTATAGATAGCTCTTTTACAAAGAAAGAGAGAGAGAGAGAGCGTTGCGAGGGTGTAGCTAATTAATTAAGGGGTGGGATGAGAATCTGAGATGAGAGAAATTAATAGTGAAAAGAGATGAAAGGCTATCTTATCATGATGATGGATGGTGATGATGATGATCTTATTCTACTGAGCAACAAGCATGGCTTGCAGAAGAGAGAGAGACAGAGACAGAGAGATATACGTGAATTGATTGGGGATTGGGGATTGGGGGGTTTTGCTCACTTCACGCATCCTCATATATAAACACAGAGAGTTGAGAGTTTGAGTGAGAGAAAGAGAGAGAGGCGCATAGAAAACACACAAACACTTATCGATATCAGTAAATATTTAGAAACTCACTCACTCACACACAGATTTTGCACAAAAACAAAATCTTCTTACAGTCGCTTTCTCTCTCTCTAAACCTACAAACATAGAGGAGTGAGAGAGAGAGGGAGAGCGAGGGCCTGCCCTGCTGTCGCTGTTGCAGCTGCTGGAGCTGAGAGAGAGCATAGGGTTTCGAGCAACCGGAGGACGACCGGCTATTTCCGGTAATAATTGAACTAACTGTGGTGGCAGATATTTCTGACAGGTTTGAGGTGTTGTCGTTTTCGGATGTATTTCTTTTTCAGTAAATTATTTGTTTGAATTTTTGTTTATTACTGTTTTTTTGGGTAAAAAGTATTCTGTAATTGGGTGGTGATGACGCACGTGAGAACGCGGGAACAGAGGGAGTGTGTGTGTGTGATGAATGAAAGGCTGAATTTGCCCTTCTCCACACTCCATCCGCCAAAAGCTCTTTTCCTTCACTTCTATCCTTCTCGCTTTACGAGGTTTTCTTCTTTTATCCTTTTTCCTTTCTTTTTTCTATAATAATAATAATAATTGTAACCCCAAAATTAAATAATGATAAATAAACCTTGCATACTCTTTCTTATTCTTTTCCTCCGAGTAATGATAAAACTTAGGCTACTAGATTGAAAGTTTGCCATCTTCTATTGTCACCAAAATCAGATGAAATACAAAATTGTTATCCACGTGTGGTTTAAATTCACAAAATGTGGATTATTGTAGCATATGACAAATGTCTTAATTGTGCTACTTTTTGTATATGGGCATAAATTATTCACGTTGAATAATGATGAGCTGATATAAAGAGAAGAGTTGTGTTACGGTTAATACTCTGCACCGGATACTCCACGCCGAATTCTTCAGTGAATTTTGATAATGGATCCTCTTTATCCATCAATAATGGATTCTTTTGGCATTGCTATATAATCCATAATCACCTCGATCACTATTGTGGATTAAAGGGTTCTAGCATGAGATTAGATGAATTATAACCCAATATAATATTCTAATCCAACTCTTTTCTTTTCCTTTAAATTTTTGGGGGTATACGTTTTTCACTAATTGCTGATGTGGACACTCAATTTTAAACAAAAAGCACGCTCCTTTAACTCAACTTTTAGAAATGCAATCAAAAGTTAAAAAAAACTATATAATACTTGCGTGCTTGATTTAAAGAGAAAAGGTGTAACTAGGGATTCTAAAAGCATAAGCCAAAAGAGGTAGGCAATTAATTAAAGTCGTGATTGTGCATGTCTATTAGGTTAAGATTACAGGACGTAACCAACCAATTTGGGCAAAGGCAGGAGCCACCTTCCTCATTTTCGATATCGAATACTTCTTTTTAGTTTTGAAGAACAATCCCATTGACCTCTTTTCTGTTAAACAAGAATATATTGGGCATATTAAGTAGGCAGTAGGTATGACATAAGAGGCCCCATAATCTCCTTGCTAATGATGCGTTGATTGAACAATTTTAGCTTCATAATCTTTTCTTCAATTTTACCTGCTCTGGTTGTACTTACTAGATTTAAATTTAAATTTAAATAGTGTGTGCTTTGTTTCTGTTAACTAATTATGTTTTTCTAATTAAATTCACTTTTAACTTTTCAACAATAGTGAATCTCCTTTTTATAAAAGTGTCCTTTCCATTTTTCTTTCTTAGAGAAAAGGGTTAGTCTGATTGACATCTCTTATATAAAGCTTGTTTTAAGAAAATGTCTCGTTGAAAAATAAACATATATATATATATTTAAATTCTCCAATAATATGTGGTTTGTTTCGGTAAGTATTTTATGTTAATAATTGGTTACATATTTTTAAATCGTTGAATTGCTGGTATGTTGCATATTAAATCAACCAACACATCTAATGAATGCAAAAGTATTTACTATCGCGCACTCCACACGCACATGTCTTGTCAAAGACTTAAGCAACAAAATGTCACAAAAATGATAGCTTTCAACAGAAAATCAAACTACAGACCAAATTAATTAGTTGGACTGAAAAATAGCACGACCAATTTACAGTTAGATTTAGATGTAATCGTCATGCCTAATCTACTTCAATCCAAATTGGTCTTTTCCTAATCTTAAGCTGATTTGATTATCTCGACATCGAAACAGGAGTTGAGGTAGCTGCTGCACGAGGTATTTAGTCTCTGACACATGAGATTATTAATTAATGACACAACAGCTTCCTAGCTTAGCTAGCTACTGTTTATACAGGATCAATATATATTTATATACATTATATATATTCAGGTGGCTTCGTCATGCCAACGTTCTCTGTCTTACAAAAACTCCCAAGACCAAATCTTTTGCTTGGTTGAGACACTAACTAAAGACTTCTCTTACATTACAACAGAGCTAGCGCCGGAGTCTGCTGTAGCCTGTAGTGTACTCTCTCCCCTTCCCTCGACGGAACGGAGTTTGATTGAAGTAGTCAAAATCACACAGACCTTGCAATTATATGGCCAAACACTGACCCGTTTAAATGCACGCTATAACAATTTTCCAACTCTCGGCATTTATTTTCCAACTCTCAGTACAAAACGCTCCAATTTTATTTTTGTTTTTTCTAACTCGAGAGTGAAAGCACCACACATGAAAGTTTACTGGGTAAAAGTGCATGGACATGCTTAACAGAGGAAAGAAAAAACTTAATCCAAGTGACGATGATGGAATAAATACGAGTTACGATTAAGATACATCAATCAATTGCTTGTTTCCCTTCTAGTGTGACAGAAAAACAATACTAAAAAAATGGCAGAGCCACATTATGTCGAACGGGGTCAGTTGCTCCCACTAGAAATTGTCTTCATCCCTAATGTTATATGCCAAGTCCTTTTCCATGTTTATAGCTTTGATTTTGCCCTATTCTTACTCATTTCGTCCTTAAATTAAATTTCGGATTATATTACAATTTAATACGTATGCATAAATTTCTCATTGTGTACTTTAATGTGTTAGTTTTTTTATACGGATATATGGTTTTTTGTTTGGGTTTTCATGTACATGTGAAATTGTAATTTACAAATAACATGAAGGGTGGGTTGGCTTGAATTGAAGCAAGTAGGCTAGCGAGAGAAAGTGTTTAGTTTAGATCACCCAAATCTTTTTGTTTTCTTTTCTAACTTTGTGACCCAATTTTTTATAAAAAGGGTTGCTAATTTTACCCACAAGAAAGAAAGGGATAAAAAGGGGAAGGACTGTGATGGCGTCAGCAATTGCTTGAAGGGAAATGATTACCATGCAACTGCAGCACTGTACTGTGATGGCGTAAAAAAAGAAAAGGCCCTCTTCCATCCTGTTAATAATTAAAGCTTCTGGTTTGCTAAAAACCAAAAGATTGGTGTTGTTGGGCTAACTAGTACTTTGCTTTTTCTCGTTAGGACCGTCCAATGTTATTCAAACCTGACCCCTGCCTCTAACTATTAATGCCGGCGGCCCCCCCGGAGACTGCAGACAGATATGCATGGTAGGCTAGGAAGGAACATGCATCACCCATTCAATTTGCTACAATAATATAACACAATGGCTATATAAATTGTCTTTCAATTCGCAGTTTAAATTATTCTAGATTCATTTCAACGGATTCGAACTCGAGTACAGGATGACAAATTAACTTGCCTAACTCACGGCTGCTTTATATATACGATAAAACTAATTTTATATTTGAACAGTACTGGTTTGTTTAATGCTAGATCAGAGTTGACACAGTCAAGCGGTTCCTTTGAAATTATATGTTACTTAATTATGTTTGACTGATCAATGATCAAACGTACTGTACATGACAGTCCACTGGATGCATATTGATCACAACTGGCATCAGGAACACTTTAATAAGGGCCTTTCTCCAGGTGGGTTATTAATTTGGGTTTACATACATCAATGTCACACCAAACAAAGATATTCATGTATCATGTATGTAGGATGTTTAATTAAATGCGGATATATTGACCATACAATATAATTGTTATGTCGTGGACAAACTTGAGTCTATAATATACTGTCAGTCTGATCCCCACTCATAGAATTATAAATATATATTTTTTTTAATAATGAATTTGGCTTACACCCTTCAAATTCAATTTTCCATACCTAAAACCCTTCACTTTTTGTTCCTATAAATAATACCCAATTTGTATAAGTAAAAACCCATGACTAGGATTCAACTCAGCAAGTTACCTAATTAAGCATAAAATCTGATTTATTGTACTTTTCAGATTCCAAAAATACCCCCAACTAAGCCATTATTGCATTTTGTATATTAATGTAGGAATCAATATGGAAACAGTTTTTAATTGGATTGTATATAATGAGAGATTTTGAATTTGGAAAGATCTCCAAATGGTTGTAATGGATGTAGGAATTAATTTTGGAACATTTTAAAAAAATTTAACAATAAATTCAAATTTGGGTAATTGGTTTGTTTAATAAAATGTTTATGTTATTTTCTTTTTATGAATTATACATGACTAATAATTCACTTTATAATTGTTTATGAATAAAACTGTACATACTAATTATGTTGAAAAAATAATGTACCTATTTGTTTTATGAAAAATATAATTTACCTAGTATGAAAAGTGTACATAATTATCTATTCCAATATACCTAC